GACAGTGACTGGGTCTGCTACATTCCCCTGATAACCTGGGTCAAGCAAGTATCACTCTGACACTGTGAGCCAACATTTGCCACTAGCATCCCTGAAAGGTTGAAGATGCAGGCGATAAATAACGGCACACAGTAGTGACTGTCTGTAAGGCACAAGCTGCGCCGAAGAGCTGGCCAGGCTGGAGGGCCTGGCTCGCCAGCGACCTGAGCAAATGCTGAGATCTGCCTTATCGCCTAAAGGCATCGGATAAAGCTGAACATGAGCACAATTTGCCTCCTACTTCCTAAGCATAGCTACTTTCCACAAAGATGAAATTAAACTTCCTTCTATATGGATGAAAAGACTCCCTCGAGCTGAAGTGGTTCACTAATTAAAATAGCTCTTTGTCCAAGGTTAGCAAGCTAAAAAATAGCAAGTGCTACATTGTCACAAATCTACTAGGTGTTGTGAAGGGAGACAAGAGACCAACAGGTCTTCAAATCTCTTGCTGAATCTCCATTAATCCCCTGCATTCCAGATATCAGAGCAGTCACGCTGGCCTGGGGATCTGCTTCCAGTTGGTCAATAGCAACAGGAAAATCTTTAAACCTCCTTTTGATCCAGACATAAGTCGAGCAGGATCTGCATCTCACAGACCGGCCCTCGGTTCTCCCCAGACTGCCTGCTTCAAACCCGAGATACCGTACGCAGAGCCAGCGGGACGGCGCGATGCAGGAAGTATCCTAACGTCTGGAAGCGCTGCTGCCTCCCAGCTCCCATCACTTATTAATGAGTTGTTATTCATTGCTGAAATACTGCCAATTCGTATAATACAGGCAGTCAGGCAAGATGATCATACTGGTCCACAGCAGCTTTAGCCTGTGAGTGAGGCGCGGAGCGTAAGCCACACTGAGTTCCATTGGGTGAAGAATGTGGGAGATTTGCTTCTGATCTCCAGGCATAATCGCATGCACTGACAAAAGGAATGTGACTTTGCCTAGCTCTCTCCTCAGACGCTATGTGACCGCAGGGCCCACCGCATCCCACCTCCAGGCTGGTAGCTTTTGCAGCACACATTAAATGTCTCACAAGGACAGCCAAAGGAAAGAATGGGAAATAGCTTTGTACACCACATTTCCTCCTCCTCTTTTACTGAATAGGAGAGGCAGGGTTTGCAGAATTCCCTTCTTGTGTTAGGCTGCTACCTCTTCTCTGAAGATTTACCGCTTTTTCTTCCAGAAACATTCAGGTTAGGAGGAGGAGGAGGTCTGACACATGGGAGGTGAGGAATATTCAGCCTCTACCCAGTTGTATGCCCCAGGTATTCCTTGATCGCCATATACACACACCTTTTTTATATGGCAGTGCAGATGTGCTCGTGTGTGCACCATTTTCCTGAATGGGTTCTGATAATCAGTCCCAAGCCATTGCACCTATGAGCTCCCTATTGCTGAGAACAGGTGAAGATACTGTAAGAAAAAACCCCATGTTTTTTAACAGAAAATCACCACTTTAACTAAAAACAACTGTAATTACATGAAGGCATTTCTTATAATAATCTAGACTCTTCTTTTTGCTGCTACTTGGAAAGTCTGCTATGATTACAGTTGGATATTATGCAAGATTGGCACAGTTTATGTTTTATAAACATATATAAAAATATATTATTCTCTATCACAATCCATAATCGTATCCCAGATATGCTCCTGCACTGTCCAAAGTAAAAAAATGTAATGATACTCAAAAGCCATAAGGAAATCCAAGAGGCCTGTGGGCACGTGGGAATTTATGTGCATATAGGAACTCATATTAAGTTAAAGCACATCAATCTTTTGTACACCCAGATGAGAACACCACGAACCAATTCTTTCCTGACTTATATCCAATATTGATGGAGGTGACATAAGGCTGCAGAAGGGGCAGATCAGGGAAGAATCCAAACCTCTGGCTAGTACTCTATTTAATCCTTTTAAATCTGCTCTGCCACCACCATAAAAAAATAGTCTGATCTCATGCCACCAACATCTAGAGGACGGGGATATAAAATGAGGATCTGTTTTATCATTTGGTAACACTGCCAGAAAGCAGGGGACTCTGAACAACTAGACCTTAAAATGAACTGAATAAAATAGACTGAATAAAATGGACTGTTCATCCTTCCTCTGAAGCCCCATGCAAAGTCTGTATGAAACAACAGCAGACATTGGGTTACAGCCGGTATTTGGGAGATAGAAGTAGGAACATTTGAAAGAATAAGCTCATTTTCTTCCTCTTTCACCTGTTTCATAGTTCTGATAAATTTAATGCCTGAGTATGATCCAGTGCCACACAGGCCCATGTTCTTTGTAATATATTGTTGAAAAGCAGAATAAATTAATAAACCACAGAGCTCACTACTGTTACTACTGTAGCTAAACTGCTTTTGATACATGAGCTCACCTCATACATCGTAATAGTCTCAATTTACCCTATAAAGGTTTCCAGTGAAATATATGAGAGTTCAGATACGCTTCCCCTTCCAGCCAGAAGAGCCTTTCTGTTCTTCAGAGACTGTCTTCTAGAAGGTGTTTAAAAACAAAAGATGTTGCTCTGCCACTTGTGATTGACCTTTAAAAAGTTACACCCTGGCATAGACTGAACACTGCCCTTTGCAAAGCTCTTACAGAGAAAAAAACCTGAGCAGTTTTGATAGTGTAACTCCATTAAAAGATCTTATTTGATCAGTCTGGTTTCACGCTTAAAATGCTTTTGGTCTCGCTACCCCAACCATCTGCTCTCTTGTGACTGAAGTTCTGCCACCCTGCTGGGATGTGCCTTCACTTCTGGTCAAGAGGAGCTTCTCTACAGAGAGAAAAACCAGCCTCTTTGGGAAGCTCTGCCAGGGACGCACAGGTCAGCAAGAGGCAGGACCACTAATTTGCCTTAAATCCCGGGGCTACACAGATGCCCAGCCCTGACACACAGCCACTGCGTCAAACTAGTCAGTCCCATCACTACCCGATGCCTCGGTTTCCTCTGCTGTAACGTACAGTTAGAGAAACTTGTTTTCCCTGTAGAGCATGTGTGCAAAGTCCGGTGCAGCAATGAAATACCACTGTTACCAAATGGGAAGGACCTAAGTCTGGTAAGATACCACTAGTAACTCTGACTTCACGTTACATTTCACTGCTTAGAGCCTCTGTTCTTGCTTTGGAGACAGCTTTGGACAGCTGCAGAAAACACATGCATTTCCAACAGCAGAGATAAGCAAAGCACATATGAAATACGTGCAAGTGAAGGAAATGCAAAATCAAATTACATTCATCAGGAGCAAGCTGAGAAATCAGCCACAGACAAGCTGTCAAAATGTCCTGACATAACTGGAGAAATCTATTGGTTGATCCTGGAATCTATTTATATATTGGGGCTTATACACATCATAAAAGCTCTGGACATCTGAGGTATTACTGTATTTCCACAACCATAAAGAAACTCGACCTTGTTTTGTGTATGATCCAGCTTTCTATACTGGATTCCACAGAGAGGAAGCATAACATTGGCTGTGGACTACAGATGACTAAAAGCATTATAAATCTACGTGCAACTACAAACTCTCTGCTACCAGTGGAAAGTGAACAGAGTTCTAAGCAGACTCTAGCTCAGCCATAATGGCCACGTAACTTATAATACCTCTGTGGATTTAACCCCCTGCCCTAGATTGTATTCCTGCCTACTTTCAAGTCAATCTTTGTTGGGATTTGGCATGTCCATTGCCATTTTGAAATTCGCATCCTTTGAATAAAGTCAGAAAAAAACCCATGACTTCAATGCCAGCTGGCCTTAAAATGTTTAGCCCTGGTGGTTTTAACTTGTCAAATGACCAGCTCTGTCAGAGTTTTCCTTCACCTTCCTATATCAGCAGGGCGTCACACTTCTGAGCCAGACCCTAAAAACCTTAGAGAAACTGTGTGGTCACTAAGCCAACCCATACTACAAAGAAGAACCGCAATTAAAGCACATAAATCAGCAATTAAAGGGTTACTAAGCACAAACATCCAACTACTGTTATTACAGTATATCTATTCCTCCAGTCTTTAGAAAGAACAATATACTGAATTAATACCCAAGAAACAACCTTTTAAAATTTGGCAAGGTAAAACAACTGATTTAAAGACCTTTTTACATTAGCCTTTAAAATTAGCAAATTTGACTAAAGTCAGTGAAATATTCCACTTCAACATCAGCTGGAGGCAAAGTGGATAGATAATCCTGGAGTCACAACAAACATTACACTGGTTTTGTTCCGGTCGTCTGATGGGATCATGAAGGTTAATGACATTAATCTTCCTGTTAGCTCGGGCTAGCTGATGAAAAAACATTCCTTGAGAGAACTTCTCCCAGTTTCAGGACTAGGCATAAGCTATGGGAAGTGTACTCCAGGCAGTAAAATGAGGGGAGATATTTCTTTCTTTCTCAGCCGTTTTACCCTTTGAACTAAGCTGAACAATTCCTTTCTGCATGCTGACTACTTGCAAAGTGGCTGTCATGTCTCCCGCCAGAGCCGAAGCTGTACACGTTCGGCAAACCCCGTAAATCAGGCGGCAGGACAGGACAAAGCTCCGCTCCCCCCGGCACCTCCTGCACCTGCCGCTTTCGAGCGGTGCTGCCGGTGATGGATGCAGACCTCGCCGCGCTCGACCCTGTGCAAACACAGAACAAAAAGCCTTCGCCCCCAAAGAGATTGCAACTGAAATCTAAGGCATAAAGGAACAGCTGAATCCACCGAGGCAGGAAAGGCTGGTTTTGTTCTCTCCGCGCTTTCACACAGGCAAGAAGCAGGCAGGGCTGGCTGACTGTATTTGAACTTTTTCGAGAATGAAAAATGGCCGTAATTTTGCATTCTTGTTTTAAAAAGTTGGGCTGTTTCGTTTCTATGGCAGACCTTTGTTGCGGTGCTGAAAAGCACTTTAATTCTCCCACCTGTTGTTTCTCCTTACCGCTCACCCAAGCTCTCTCTCCCATACACACACCCTGCTCGCAGGCGGAAGCTGCTGGGAACATGGCTGGTGATTTCATTTTGCTTGCGGCTGTCTCTCTTCTTTCCGCCTTCCAGCAATGTAAGATCTGTGGGGTTGCGTGGCCGGGGCTTGGGGAGGTTTCCACCGGTTCTGAAGTACTGGAAACTATTTTATGATAAACTGGCTGTTCTGTAACTTTAATTTCTGAGAACTGGTAAGATTTTTCTCACTGGAGCATTGTTTACCCTCTCCGTACTCTGAGCGGGAGCTGGCTCAGTGGCACAGATTACTTTTCCCTGTGGGAGAAACTAATTTGTCTTCAATCCTGTTTTGTTTGCTAACTTTTTGGAATCGTACTATTCTGAGAGCTTGTAACTAGCTGTAAAGTTACCCCAAAGCCACATCGTGTCTTGGTTTCGCTTCTTATTTAGGCACCTATACAACTGAAAACCTCAAAAGTGAGAGTGAATTTGTGAAATCAGATACACCACTGCTGGACTGAAAGAGCTGTAAAAACTGTTTCCTGAAATGGAGAGATATACTAAGTATCCAAAATGAAAGAAGAAAGCAAACCTTTACACCGGGCAGCAATAATATGAGATACTCTGTATTATGCCCTCATTGTTACATTTCTTTAAGAGCTAAATGGGTTTATTTTATCCCCTGCTGATATGCCTCTGAGAATCAAGGACTAGGGTAAGAAGTGGGCAAGCCTGAGACGCTCTTTTTGCCATGTGTCAGTCTGAAACAGCAGTAGCATTTTTAATGCTTGTCAATATTCTTTGAAATATGTTGATCCGTACAGGTACACCAGGAAACAAGATACATTTTGAAGGCATTTGTGCAATACTAGTATGAGATTACGAGCAAGTAAAAAATAATTATTCTGCCTTTTTTTCAAATATCTATAATGCTGCCAACTTATCTAGCAACCTATCTGTATGGCTTGATTGTTTGTTTATTTGTTCTCAAAGCCTCAACTACTGAAATAGCATTTGTATCCTGCAGAAAAAAAGCTTGAGAATGTGACCCTTACAGGTTAAAAAAGCCCAACAAAACAGAAAGCAAATCAAAAGCATGTAAAATTTGCATACCTTTGTGATCTTCACTGAACATTCCTATTTGGTGGCAATATTTACCATCAACTTTTGTGAAACTCGCCTGCCTTGATTTTAAACATAAAAGTCTGAAGGATAAAAAACAAACAAATGTTATCAGGAAAAGTACTGCAGTTTGAAAACTCAAGGAATTGTACAGATACTGAAACTGTGAAGGGAAAGGGAAAATACCTATGTTCTTCACCGTGATGGTTATTCCTTAGTTGTTAATCTTAGCTAAAATCACAGAAAGGACAAGATAACTTGTGTTTTAATTTACACTGACAGTCTGACATCAAGCCGAAAGAGAAACCTCTGTGACAGTCTGATGCAAATCATCACAGCCTGGCTTACTTTCAGCATGCTTTTTAACATGGGTAAACCAACACAGATTAATTTATGGGAGTGCAAATGCATATTGTGGAGCAGGCACCGTAAGCATGTGCTATAACCAGTTCATGTCAGGGGAACAGCACAGCCCGTGACTGCTTGCTGTGAACAAAACACACACGACATACACAGCACTGGGTGCTCTGCTTGCTCTTCTGTTTATTTTGCTGAGCCTCTGGCCCTGAGTTAGGAAGGTGCTAAAGGGCAGTACGACCTCCCTGAAGCAGTGCTGGAAGTCAGGTTTCAGCTGGCAATCATCAGAGGTACAAGATTTAGTGTCTCAGAACCATGAGTTATTCAAAGAATCAGGTCAGTCAAAGATTAAGCTGTGCAAGAAATGCTCTAGGGTAGAAAGAAGGAGCAGAAACAATGTAGGAAGTGGTTTCCAGTCATGAATCTAGTTTTAAGCAGCTAAGATTTGCTTGAGAGATTAGTGTTTTGTAGACTGATGGGAAAACAAGGGAATCCAATGAAAGGACAGAATAAATCCCAGCCATTGATATAGGAGAGAACAGGAGGGACTGGAGCCCCACTACTTCTCTATTTTGAAGTATCTCTCTGAACTAGTACTTTTAAAAATCACTCTTTTAATTCCAGAACCCAGCAAGACATTATTAAAAAGTATTTGATTTTTTTTTGTAAAGGTTGTTAGGCCAGGCCTTGCGAATTAACATGCGCTATCATACACTGTGATCTACAGGCTTTTTAACACATATAAAGTGTTTGAGAGTAATGTTCCTTGAAAGCCTTCTTTGTCCCATATTTTCAGAGTAAAGATATTAACTCAGTAACCATAAATGCCACCTGAAGATGAAAGCAAAAAAAAAGCAAACAAAGGCAAGTCAAGCATACTTTGTAACTACCTCAGTCATGTAATTTAGCCTGTTAGAATTGAACAACTTGATACAGGGGGAAGAAAAGGCTATGAAAATCTTTACTCACTCCTGCTGCAATGCTTTCTGGATTCCTCACGACAGCACCTCCAGTGGGTGGGGCAGGAGAGCTCTCCCATTGCTTTATTATTTATTTTCACCCTTGTTAAACCATAATCACAAAACTTAAATTTGGAGTTACATCACTACTTTACATTCCCCAGAAAGGAACTAAAAGGCAAGTCCTATGCAGTTAACAAAAAATACAGCAATTATTCCTCTCCTGAGCTCTTTTTAAGTCCCTGGTTGGCACCTGTCTTGTTCTGCACACCAGGCTCACCTTTTCTTTTAAGGTGACAGACGTGACTCTAGTTCTCCTGTTATGCAGTGCCACAGCTTGGTTTTCATTGGCATATAAAAGCCCACTTGTCCCTAATGAAACAAAGTTCCCATCAATCACAGGGGATGCCACTAAAGAAGTGGATTTTATGATGGTCGGCCATACTATCACACGATCACAACCTGTCTCTGCGTATGGTTAACCAGGGTCTCCCACGTGTAAATCTCTGCCCCCCCAAACCAGAGCCCTGCTGACCAAGCAACACCAAGGGCAAATTGTGTTACAGCTGAGGCCAGGGTTATGCCGCAGCACTGACATTTTGCTTTGGTTAATTGTACCGAACAAGCAAGAATGATTTGGCCCCTACAGTGCCTTAATCTTCTTATTTCCCACCAGTAAGTTTATTTTGTCCAGCATCTGCTCAAGGTTTTTTTGTCAACTGATTTGGATGCAATGAGCTGCCTTGGCTTGCCTTAGCTCCTCAGTAGGGAAAAACCTGGTCCCAGACTGGTTGTAAACATTGAATGGCTGGGTGTGGCCAGAAAACGAGGAATGCATTGCTGGCTAAAACCACCATTGCACAAAACGCTATGGTTCACCTACCACTCTGACTGATAAGCCAGGTAGGATTTGCCAGCACATAGCATTTATCATAAAAAATAGATCATGACGAGGGTGACAGAAGTTATAAAGAAACTTTTCAGTTAAGTTTTCCAGGAAAATACTCCTCAGAGGTAAGTCTTGTGCTTCTGTGAGTTTCAGTCTCCCTGATGCATGTTCCCTAAACCCTCCCTGCTACCATTCTTCCCTTCTGAAAGGGCTGCAAGGTGGCAAATAACTGATGAATCACCAGGCATAACAAGAGATGCGTGGGTGGGAGTGGAGGAGGTCTTGCTGGATGCAAATACAATTAAAGGTCCCGTAAACCTGACTTAGAGGGAGATAGCTGAGATGCTCTGGCTAGTCTCTGGAGAGAAGGGTTAAGAGGTCACTTGAATACAGCCCATAATTACTTATATGGGGAGAAGACAGATGGGAAAATGCTTTTTTTGGGAAAAGGCTTTGGCCACAGGGCTAAGACATGAGGTGCACAGGGCAGTACCACTAATACCTCTGGCTGTATTTTAATGCCACTGCTCCCAGAAGGGAGGACAGAAGGTACACTCTAGGCTTCCCCCTTAGACAAGTCTTTTTAGTGAACTCAGGTGAATGCTCAGTTTCTGGATCTATGTAAAGTTTAGGCACAAGGTAGACAACGAGCTTCTCATACAGGGTGGCTACGACATGGCCAGAAAAATAACTCCAGGTACCCGGGGAGTTTTAAAATCAAACAGGGTGATGCCCAATAGCACTGCTGCATACAGAAAATTGCTGTCTGTGTATTGCCTTTTGTCCTCGTGAGCCACTGTTCAACTTTCAAAGGGAGACTTCTGCAGTGAGGACATCAGTAAAACGAGGTATACATGTACATGTCAGAAGTGATCCTAGAAATACAGGTCAGAAGTGCAGAGTGTTTGATTGGTTTGGGGTTTTTTGGTAAGTGATATCTAGTCACTGTACAGTGAGTAATCTTTTTCATGACACTGCATCAGTTCTAAAAAATGCTTTTTGCAAGTAAGTACTATCAGCTCCAATCAGTGGAGGTGGAAACAGCATAGGTCCCCCAACAGATAAGTCTCAGAGCTCTCCAGGAGATGAGGTGGAGAGCAGAGAACAGGCTACAGCCTCCCTAGTTGCAGCTCTCTGCTCTTTCCAACATACTGAATTTTGAGAGTCCAAGAAAATAACAACAGATGGAAAAGCATGTGCTAGAAGATATGGGCAAATAACTTTAAAAAGGTGTCTACCAGATTTTTGTTTCCAAAGATTGTAATGCTGCCCCATACTTCAAAGCATCGTAGTTCTTAGCGTCACCAAACCAAAATGCCCATATGCTATTCAGACAAGTAGGGGAGTGACCTCCATCCGTGCAGTTTGGTTACTGAGACACTGCTAGGGCAGCACACTGCCACTGCGGTGGGACAAGAGTGCTCCTAGGCTGTGCAGTTCTGGGATTCAGATGAGCTGGAAGGATATTTAAGTCATAACTAGTGTAGCAAATGCAAAACCAGGATGAATATATTTCTCAAATAGCAATTTTTCCCTTTCCTCATCAGTGTCCCTCTTGAAGATAAGATCTGAACTAATATTGGTCTCTTTCCGTCAAACAAAATGGAAAGAGCCGAAGAGCAATGATCTCTAAAAAATTACTGACGTGTTAGGGGTGCAACTGAACCGAGGAACTGTGTGATTCGTGAGCCCTTATTTTTGCTTGCAGGTCATTTTGCTTGGCTGGTGGGGAAATCAAGAATGAAGCACAAGGTCATGCCCCCAGCTGTCACTGGGGCTCCGGAATTTGACAGAACATTTCGTGCACAGTAAGTCTGGAGATCATTAAGACGGTGGCAATGAATAACAATTCAGTCCGGAAGAGAAGCAAAAACATTATCTTAAAACGTTACCTTCTCTTTGCATTCTTTGCTCAGAATGAACAGATCGTTTTTCAAATGGTTCAGCTATTATCTTAGTGATAATGGGGTAAGTTCAGCTCATTTAAAACAGTAACCACTCAAATTCTGATCAAACTAGGCAATCAGATTCCCCAAACCTAAGTAGCGGCTGAAAGCTATTTGATTTTAATCTCAAGAATTCAGATGTTCTGGATCTTGCAAGCTGTGCTGTTAGTTCTTGGTCTGTGGCTAACACCAAACACGTGGAAGACAAGAACACAGAAATCCTCTGTCTTCACAGTGGATAATGGTGGAATAGCCTGTCTAAGAAGACAGTGTTTTCCTAAAGGGCTTCAGTTTGTGATTAGCTAATAACCCTACGCAGAAGTATTTATAATTATTTCATACAATCCCATCTGCTGTAACTGTAGTTGCAGTGGATAACAATGAGGCATAGTATACATTAGACAACATATTAGATAAAGAATATGCTAGATATAGAAGGTTGCCTAATTCATTAAAAGGAAGTTAATTCAGAACAACCAAGAAAAGATATCCCAAGGAAACATTGGTGGGAAAACTGATGATGTCCACAAATTAAGGTGTCATGGTCCTCACCATAAGAAGATCTATCGTGTGCTGCCTGTGCCTGACAGCACTTTGTAAAGGCAGCTGGCCCCAGCAGAGCAATCCAAGCTGCCTATGCACAGCTCCGTGCTTCCTGCTGCAGTCCCAGGAACACCAACCCACAAAACTTGCATACTGAGCATGGAGAGAAGTGATTAACATCACATCCGTGTGCTGGAATTCCTGCCTGCCTCTGCTGCACAGATACTTGATTTAGGATTATTCATTCTGTTTAATTCCATATGGTTGGGATCCAGATCCTTGTCTAAATTTAAATACCAGGAAAATAGTTTAAATAGCTTGTATCTGAGATTACAAAGAAGAGAATTTTTAAGAGTGCCTAATGCTGGCTTGACTGTGCTCCCACTGGATTTGATAGCACTAACTTAAGTGGCAACAAAATGAGGCCAAAGCTGATTCTCCTTTCAAAGCCCACCCATAGTTCTCTTCCTTTCCAGACTAATGTTCTTTCAAATTTATTCTGCAGACAAAACTGCGTGGAGTTTTACCCAATATTCCTGACTGTCCTCTGGACTGCAGGGTGCTTTTTTAATCAAGGTAAACACTTTTTGTTTTTATCTTGGACTGAGAAGTTTTACGTAACTTCTAAAAACACTTCAGTTTTATCAGGAGGTAGGTGACTGTAGACATCTTTTTCCTTCTTTTAATTGCTTTACCTTATCATAGCCTTCCTAGGAGAATGCTCAGTAACACTGAAATCCCCACTTAGTCAGGGCATTTCACACAGCCCCACCAGCTTTCACTTCTCTGCAAACCAAGGAGCCAGCACATGGCACATTTATCATACATCCAGTGGATTTTCAGGGTGAATCGTTCAGAGAAGCAGCTCCCAGATGCTTCTCACTAGCAATTATTGGCACATTACAGGACAGTTCTCACAGGACATCAAGCATAGCTATCACTCCTTGGTGATGATCCTTTTTCTACCTGGAAAGACTCAGGTAGAGCACTCATCCCTGTGGCTGGCCCCCTGCCTGATGGAGATGGGGCTCAAGCCAGCAAACCTTCAGGTTTTTACATCCCCGCTGAGTGACACCACCGCTGGGCTGTGACTCGTTTGCCTGTTCTGGGACACAGCGCTGTGCACTGAAGCGCAGTCATAACAGCGGCATCTCCAGCCATAGCTATTGTACTTCAGGGGGGCAGCAGGGACTCGTGAAAACCTATTGTGTTTTCTCAGGCACCTGGAAGGGGGGCACCTTTTGGCCAAATATTCTGAACTCAGACACCACAGAGCTTTCATACCTCTCGTTCTGTTGGACTTTCCAAGGTCGGTCTGTGGTATTTCTGAACAGTGATGGGGTGGACTATCGTAGACCTAGAACTTGTAACAGAGCCTAACTTCTGCATTTTGCTTTATTAACATTTCTCCAGCTGATGTTTTAGAAGCATGACATCTGTGGTCTGGAGAAAGGATAACCAGCTCATGTCCACTACACTTCTCCTTCCTGAATAACTAGCTTTCTTCTCCATTTTCTGTGTCTGCTCCGAAAGAGTCATTTTGTTTTAGGGCTGTCTTATAGTCGGAGTCCCATCTCCACTGCAAACCCACTGTAAATCCAAAGTAGCACCACTTGAGTCAACAAATTGCATATGAAACAATACATGCGTTCATAGACAGACACGTGAATCAAAGAAGATCACAGCTGCTAACCAGCAACACAGACAAGTGCTGTCATGTGTAAGAAAAGGATTATGTTAACCTCCCCCATTAAGTAATTTTTTCAGCTGAGTATCTCCCATAGGTATGTTTAGATGAGTTAAGCCAGAACACAGTAAAAGCTGTCCTCTGTAATACTCGCTCGCACGGTTTGAAAGAACACAAAATTCAGTAGCACTGCTTAGTCCTGGGTAATACGACTGACCTACACACCCTGCTCCATCTATCAAATGGAGGTGACTTTATACTCTTCCCACAGGGAGGTCAGAAAGCTAACTTCACTACAGCTTTCTCTCATGTCCTTGGATAAAAGCTGCTATATAAATGCAAAGCAGGTTATTAACAACATAAATAAGATTCTCTTTCCAAAACAAACACTCCCCTTTAGCATGAACTGCCATAACAATACAAAATTACAGCGCTGGGTCAAGCCACAGTGCTCCAACCCGCTATCCTGTCTCTGGGATAACCACCAAAGTGTGTGTGTGGGGGGGTTAAAGATTCCTGTCAGTTCTTGAGATCGCCTTTTCAAGGAATGCTGTTAGGGTTTTTTTGGATGGTCCTATGCCCACTCCTATCTGTAAACCCATATCAAGAGCCTCCTGTAGTGAATGTTTAAGAATACACATATCTCTTTTGAATGATTCTTTCCCAAGATAACTTCCCAGGGTATGGGTAGCTATGAAAATCCACAGAGCTATATAACTAGAAAACATAACCAAAGTGGTTAACTGTCTACAATCCTCATTTCTTAGTTTTCTAACTGCTTTTTCCCCCTCTATTAATATTTTCTTTCTTAGAATTAGCTTCCTTTCTTGGCGTGTTGTACGTGTTTGCCCGCTACAAGTACTTCCATGGTTACGCACAGTCTGTGAAAGGAAGGTAAGGAGTTACCAGCTGAACGCAGGTTAAAAGCTCCAGGCTGTGGGCTGAAGCTGGGCTGAGAGCCAAAGACTGGCAGTGAAAAGTGACTATAATTGAATGCAACATGTGTAAAATGTCAGCAAGAGGTCTGAAGCGGAAACCCTCAGGGAGGAGGGCTGGCTGATACAGTGGGAGCCTAGGTTAAGATGTACACGTGCTACAGGTTACGAGAGAGAAGAGGTTTGATGCTCACCTTGCGGGTGCCTGGTTTGTGCTGAGCATACTGGCAGCCAGACTTGGAGAGGTCTGAAAGCAAAACAGTTTTGCAGCTCAGAACTGCTTTAGCATGGGAGACTGCTCTGGCAAGGCTTGCACCGGGCCTGCCTTCCTGCTGTTTTCATTTTTCCTCAAGTTTGTCACGTTAAGACCTTTACTCTAGCCATGCAAAATGCACTGAAGGAAGCAAGCAAATCTGGCCTTGTAGGCTGGCGAACTTTCACCAAACAGATAAGAGAACACAGCTTCAGATAAGCGTATGTTAATGAATGTTAAATGCACAGCATCTCCTAACATGAATTCTGCTTCAACGAATGCTGGCAAAACACCCCTCCACTATAAACACTCAAACACACAGTTTATTTCCTGTTTTACTGAAGCCACTGCACTATCTCCTGAGTCCTGACCCAAGGCTCCTCTTCCAGCACATGAACTTGTCATAAAAAGAAAATAGCATGCCTTCTGCTTGTCATAAAATTGAAAGACTTGCAATGTATATTTCTGAGGAAGATACAAAACAATCAGACTATTTTGTAGTGAATAATCCTGCAGCAGCATAAGACTGTACTACAGGGCTATTTTCCATAGCTTCTGTACCAATGTTACCACTCTCCTTCACTACAGTCTCCACCGATCCCTTACCCTCTTTGGAAGAGCTGTTGCTTAAGAGAAGGGAGAGGCTATGTTTTCCAGAGCAAATATATGGAGATAATTTTGTATCTCCCAGTAAGAGATGTGATAATTCAAATGATGTAATGAACACCAGCCAGAAGACTAGCAACTATTAAGGAAGTTTGGGGAGCAAAACTGTGTAAATAAATGAACAAGAGCATAAAGGACTTTTCTTCACTCGACAGGCTAAAAAGTATTTTGTTCAAGAAATCTTTCCCATGCTTTACTTTAGTACTCCAATAGATTCAGCCTCTCAAGGAAGCCCTAAGAACAGTGGCTTGCTTCACTATTAGACAGAGCTTTACACTCTGGTGAGACCCTAATTTCTTTGCATTGAACAGAGAGTGCCGAGAGTCAGCCTGGCAGCCCCAGAAAATGGCTTTGCTCGCAAGGCCCATGGCTGCAGGGCTGCCTGGTGTGAACCTCTATCAGGCAATTCAGCTAGCAACAGCTCAGCACCAGCCAGGCATGCCGAACCCGGCCCCAAAACATACAACAAGCCTCCAGCAGCCCTGGCAGCGAGGAGGTAATTAGTCTTCACACTGAGGATCAAACCGTAATCACTGACTATAGCCGTGCTAGCTATGAAGACAAACCTGGTCCGCGTGCTCACAGAGCCCGCTACAACACGTACTCAAGCGCTTGACAGCATGAATTGCAGTTCAGGTTTGCCAAGGCTGGATTTTTTGAGAACACAACAGGAATATGCACCTTCTACTTGGTTTCTGTGCTGGAGAGGCCTTTGCAAGTGAGCTGTACCCTTTACCCTTCCCTCCAGCTGGCTCTGACAGCTACTTAAAGGGCTAAGCGAAATACTTTTTTCACAGTCTTCTGAAACTGAGAAAATCTCATACTCTACCATTTTCAAATCCACACCTAGACGTGACATACCCAGAAAGGCTTCTTATACCAAGTCTTTAGGCACCAGTGAGATTCTCGGGCTCCCCACACCCCCAGCAGTGCCGAGCACCTTCAGCTTCTGTGGGTATGGGGATAGCTAGCTATAAAATCAAAGGCTGACAAGCTCCTCAGACCTCTCTCCAATGCTAATGTGATGGGATTCTCCAAAGAGACCTTTTGTTGCTTGCTTTGCTGGCAGAGGCCAACCCAGCGGCAGTTCCCATTTACGCCTGTCAGACCAGAGCCTGTGCCAAGGCGACTGAGAGCCGCCCCAGGGGAGCGTGCGTGGAGGGGAAGCTCTCTGCTCCCGCGTGCCCAAAAAGCGAGCTCTGCGTTCCACAGCGGAAGGGCTCTCCCGGCCTCTTCTGCGGGAGCTTCCCATTTGGTACAAATGAAATAACCTGACCCTCTCCCATAAACCAGCAAGTGCCCTCATCGCTGATTTTTCAGGCTCAACACTCCCAGTCCAAAAATTCATTTCCAAGTCAAAGTGATAACCAGCAGCAGACCTCCCAGCTCAGTGGAGGATGCCTGAACAACAGATGTAGATATAAGAGGCACACACATCTCTCCCACCACTCCTACACCTGCAGTTGCAGTGAGGTGCTCAAGCTTGTCTGTGGCTTTATCTACAGATCTTCATGTCACGGAGGAGGTAGCTTCAGGAGTATTTAGAAACACTGGGAGAGAGTTTTCCCACAGAGGGGATATTAGGAATCTCTCTCCTCCCTAGAAAAAGTCACGTGCAGGAATGGTTTATTACCAAAACACCCCAAGGCAGTATTGCAGCAGTGATCCTTTCTGATTCTACACACCTCTTCTTAACTGGTGTGGACAAGCAATTTCACTGTAAACACACCATGTACAGCATGTAACGGTATTTTTCTGCTTTCCACTCCTAGGTTAACAGGGTTTTATTTGAATTTGATAATTCTAATTTGCTTGATCACCCTGGGTGCAGCTGGAATTGTTAACAGCTTTCTGGATGAATACCTGGACTTCAGCGTTATGAAGAAACTACATAAATTGTTCTGAGGACTGGTTGGGTTTTTTAAAATAAATAAATAACATGTGTGCTTTCCCCCCGAACACCAAAAAGGTGATAAGCTGCATGTGAATAAAGCATCAGAGCTCTTTACTAACAGCCTGTTGCAATGTAAAATGCATGTTTTTCCTGAGCTTTTTACACTTTCTCCTTTCCCTACACTCTTGAAAAAGAGTCAGTAAGACAGACTGTCATGTCACATCTGCATTTGCAATTAAATGCTGTTTTCCCATACAGTATTGTAAACACTGAACAAATTACTTAAAACTAAACCCATTAATTCACTAAGTAATTTCACTGCAACCGGCACTGCAAGCATCAGCCCATCTTACCCAAAGTCCTTCAGCTTTGCCAACGCCTCTGTAGTCTTCCTTCACTCCTCTTCATTTCCCTCAGCAGTGCCATCCACTCTGCAGAAATGTAAAAACACGCTTCGATGCCGTACGCTGCTGCGAGGTCCCAATTTCCCAAGTATATCCAATCCCATTGCAGGGGGCTGCTTAAGCATATACAGAAATGCTGCTTTCCTCAGGAAAACATTTAAAGCTGCACTTGACCCTACGTTTCGGTGGAGGCCTTTTGATTTTGTACGCGCGTTTACAGTTCAACACACGCTCAGAGACTCTTCTCGTGGAAGTGGGGCCCTCCTGTAGGCAGATCCCAGTCCTCACACAAAGCCTTTTGAGGACAGGCTGTACCCACAACGTGGCACTTGTGAGAGGGAGAGACGGCCCAGACAAAAAAGAAGGCACAGATGCTCATCTAACAATCGGGCCTACTGCACTGTCTCCCACCAAGGCACAGATGGCTGGGGTGTGGGAGAGACTAGACAAATGTCCCAGCATGGCCACGGCTCTGGGAATCATCAAATGACAATGAAAAGCAAACTGACTATGAAAACAGTTTTCTGCTACAATGCAGGAAAAGTCATGGCTTACTACTGCAAGCTCAAAGTATGCTGATCCTCAATTTAAACTATGTAGAAGAACAGAGAAGTAAGGCTGTGTCTATTTTGGTAGCTCCTGGTGATTCAAATCATTTAAACAATGCTGAATATACCCATGCTAGAGCCAGCAGGCAGAAATTTTCCTCGTCGTGCCTCTGAAGACATGATTTGGCCAAAAATCCTGCACATTTATAGTGGTGTTCAGTCAAGTCTATACAATAAACGTGCTTACGGTCTTTCTAAAAGTGTATTGAGGTTGATACGCTGAGCACAAAATAATCGAGTGTTGGATCAGGTTCATAATAACCTTCCATATGAAAAAGGTGAACACACATGTGGAAGTTAGCTTGTGATTAAAAGGCACGACTTAATGTCTGCAGGTGGCAAAGGCTGAAACGGCATTTGAAACAATAAAATGAAACAAGTACAAAGGTGCAATACTCGGGTCTGATAACAGCTGCTGAGGGGAAAAGGACAGATTGTGGCGATGTACAGGCCGGAGCTGACACAGCTGTGGAAAGGGCAACTCTCTGGCACTTGCCTCCAGGGAGAAAGTACAACGGGGCCAGATCTAACAACCACAGAAATCACTGGGAATCCTTTCACTAGCTTTCCTTCTGAGGGCTGAAAGACATAAAATCCACCTACCCACCTGCCAGTGATGCCTTTGGGCAGTCATGGGCAGTGGGAAGTGCTGCCGCCAGAATCAAAACCAAGGCAAAGGTCCAAACTACGGAATGGGCTTGAAATACGCACTGGGGCAGGCTCAGAGGTCGCTCGCTGCGTTCAAACAGGTCTTTGCCTCAGAAATGGCTCCATTCCAGGATTACCTGTTGTAGTGGTCTGGTATGTCTATAGCTAGCTTCCCATACCCCGTCTACTATTCTATTCTGTTCTGCTCCATTCCTATCTGTTCCATTCTGTCCCATCCCATTGAAAAGAATAAACTGCTATTGCACAGGGACAATTTCACATGCCAAAAACGCAGGTGTGAGGCTGCACGGCATCAGCCCGCAGCACAAAGCCAGAGTGCTGGGAGATAAACACGACCCCAACATTTTTGGAGCTGCACCAGCTAACGAGAGGACAGGAGTAGGCCTAGAGCTGAGGATGCCACCTGTCTTCTGAGCTGCTGATTTTTCCCCAGTAAGCCAGGACAGGATGTCTATGATTGAAAAGTGCTAAAGGCTGACTCATCTATGATTAAAAACAAAACACACCTATAACAGACGGATGCTGTCAGTGTCAGTATTTAGTTTAACTCTAGTGAGAGCCACACCATTTCCAGTCGGCTGATGGAGGAGTCAGTACCAGGCTGCACATTCAGCATACGCTGTGGCTTGATGCAAACATTCATCTGTCGGTCACGATCAGAAACGACGATGGTTCCTGCTGCAGCTTCGAAGCCGGTCGGTACCGAGAGGCCTCTTGCTGAAAACATCTTCTCTCAGCAAGCCCTCTGCCAGCATGTGCTGAGGAGTAACTGGCATGCTGCTCCGAGCTGGGCCCGTTTCCTTTGTGCCCCATTATCCACATTTATAATGGTAAAGGACTGACACTGAGGAAGGGGAACCTCACCTTAAGGGTTGTACGTGGAGCCACACCGACATCCTGAAGGGCAAGCTGTGCAAACAGAGGTCCCACGCCTGATCCCCCACAACTCCCTGGTAGGCTGGAAACATGGAGAAATTGGCGTTGAGCCTTGAAGGCTACATGGCACGTTTATCTTGAACAGGTCATATAAATTCAGCAAGTCTGCATGCACTTTCCAAAAGACTTCTGACAACACAATTCTCACTCTGTAGTAGTAGTAGTAGTTGATAGGGAACTACTCTAAGCATATGTCTTCATGCTTCCCTGGTTTCTCCATCTCTTCTTTCCAACATCTACGTCCAACATCACATCTCCCTTCTCCCACCCCACCCCACATCACCAAATCTCAGCCACAGGACTGCTACATCCCAGGCTCTCCACCTTGTGTCCTCCCCTGAAATTCAGCACTTCCCTACTCCCTGCTTTTACTCCTCACAGGGAATAAACACAAAAGCTTGGAGTTGTCACCTCCAACAGGCCCAATTATGGACCCAGTCCCCCGTAGCAACTGCCTGAGAGCAGACCTCACCCCAGAGCACACACAGTTTTGATAGCTCTCCTTGCTCTGAGGAAGGGGCACCAGTTTACCAGCTGCTGAAGAAGCCCAGGCCAAGTGGGACATCCCAGTACGGGCCATACCCCGCCCGCAACGCCCCAACCCCGGCCGGGTGAGGGCAGCTCCGCGGGGTGTGGTGAGGCAGCCCTGCAGACACCCCGGGGATGAAACTGGGCCCCTCTGAAGCCAGCTTCCCTCCTCCCCCTGGAAGATCACCCACCGAGGCGCAGGAGTGGGGTGAGAGATGATCCTGTAAACCAGCCTGGTATATGACTCAGATAACCATCTTTTATTTTGTTGTTGTTGTTGTTGTTGTTGTTTTTGTTTTGTTTTGTTTTTTCTTTAAAAGTGGTATGTTAACATCAGGTCTTTTTCTACATTTTCAGAGCTCTGTACAGGTCTTAAAAGGAAATAAGCAATGCTTAATGTACAAAGTAAAAACAGAAAACTAGAAAAATCTGAATAAAATGGAGCAAGTTGCTGTCAGGGATACAGTACAAATTAGTAATTAGACGTCATCTGAAGTGCAATACCACTGCAGTAAAGATGAGTTAAGGAATGAAATAAAAATACTCTATTTTAAACAAACAGTATATATATATATTTTTATATGTATATATTTTACAGATAGTAGACCCAGTGATATCTGTAGAATCGTAAAAACATATTTACAAATAACTTTTTTTTTTAACATTACATATACATCAGCACCATAGTAAGAAATAAAAAAAAAAAAAACCAAAAACAAAAAACAAAAAACCCCAAATCTAGTAAAATCTACCTCTCTAGTACTTGGTCCCAGTACGGAGTATTTGGAGGAAGCTTTACAAAGACAACAGAGACTCAGTCTTCACCACCACTTATCCACCAAAGCCTGTCCCTCCCTGATGCGCATGGATTTGCACTCGGCCGCCGCTCGGTGGTTCGGTGTTTCCAAACCCCCGTTTTCCAGCCCTGCGCTGGCCGGTGACCCCCCCCCCACTCCCACCCGAGGAAGAAGGGGCGCGGTGCCATCCCCGGTGCCGTCCCGGCGTGGCAGGCTCGGGCTGGCTGCCTCCCGCCCCGGCACGGCCCCGTCGGACAGGGCAGGGCGGCCCAGGGACGCGCCACGCCAGCTCGCCGCTCCCTCACCCACACGCTCACGCAGGCACGACGCCCTCGTCCCTCCCGGGTACCATTTCTCTCGCTGTTTTCTCATTCCTCGTCCCTTCTGCCCGGGCCAGCCCGGCCGAGAGCCGCTTACCCAAAAGACGGACTGAAAAGTTTGGCTGGTGCTCTCTTTCACGGAATTAGGGCCCGACCCAGCTCCTGCTGAAGCAGTGGACAGGCAAACCCCTATCGTCTTCAGCAGGAACTGGATTAGGTCCTTGCACTGTATTTTAAAAAGGGGTTAGCTAAAAGAGGTGTAACTAAAGCATTTTTTAAAAATTTAGCAGTCAGGGCAAGCTGGACTGATAGCTCACTTTGACCAGCTGGTCCATGGTAAAAATGCAGCTTGTCCTGCCTACATGACAGCATTTAAAACAGATACTTCCCCTCATCTAGGTAAGCCCTGCAAGGAGTTGCTGCACAGAAGGGAACCGTAGCGGGCCGCTGAGATGGTTCCGGGCCTGTTTGGCTCCCACTCTTTAATGTGATGCATATCTGTGCTCCGCAGGGAAAGGCAGGACTTGAAAATGCAAGGTGCCGAGCCCCTCAGCTCCCGTGGGTGTCAGCAGCTGAGCACCTCGTGTCGCCGGGCCCGAGGAGAGCAGCGTGCAAGGAGGTAACCGGTAGCTGGGTAGTTGGTACTCGTAACACCAGAGACGCTTTCGCTGCAGAGCACATCTTATGGCTTACAGAGGCCAGCATTAGGCCAGAAGATCCAAAACTTTCTGGACTGTGGGTCACGCTAACATTTTTTTTAATGCACCACTATATAAGTTGATAAGCAGCTCTCGTCTGAAAACACTAAAAAGGTGACAGGTTTCGGAGGACAACTTACTTCAGCCTCAGACTGCAGCTTCGGAACCGCTGCTTTAGACATTCAGAATGGCTGATGTCTCAGTATTGTGCAAGACATACCACAATTTCATTGCAGTGCTGCTCAGCACCGGTCCACACAGTGGAGACAGTGATACGCCACTATTACCTAAAAGCTTATTTGGGCAGACCCCATGTTTGTAATGACTACATGGATTATTTTACCCATTCGTGAATGATCTTTACAGTAGTCCTTCATTGGCTCCTGTTCTTCAGATACTGCAGTGAATTTTATTGCAGCAAACCACAGAGATTAGACCAAACTTCTGTATAAAACTGAAGATCAGGTTGCATATAACATCGCATTGAGAGCCCCGACACCCCAGGGTAACACTGCTTGCTAAACTTGCACTTTTCAAGAGGAGAGGAGAAACCCATTCCGCCCGCCAAACCCGCCCTGTACATTCTCTCACGTTTGTTTTCTCCTCCCCTGCCTTGCCCCTTTGTGGCAGTTGCTGCTCACCTGAAAAAAAGTGCAGCCAGCTCACCTCGCTTTACAAGGAAGGAAGCGAACTGCAAACACACTGCGGAGGAAGGAGCGAGAGGGACCCGCGTAGGAGCTACGCGGGTGTCTCCTGGTACCTCTTAGCCCCTCGACACCATTTGTTCTGCTCCCCTGGGCAGCCGACACACACCGAAGCGCTCTGACAGGGAAACACTATTCCAAAGTCCCCAGGGGGGACCGAACAGCTCGTCGAATTAGCTCACCCACCTAAGCTGTCTCCAGCAGCAGTCCCAGAATCAAACTGTCCTCACCACACCACCACATTTACCTTCTCCTACACTTTTATTGGATTTTTATCACTCTGCAGTGAAAATGGTGACCTTCCTGTGACTGTTTAGGTTTGTCGCATGTGTGCTGCACGTTCCCTTCCCTCACCGAGACCTGCTTGCCCCCGGGGTTAAGCCCGTTACCGACCGGGGCCTGTGCAATTGCCCACAGACGTCTGTCGGCTTTGCTCCCAGCCGCTTTCATCTGCTCCCCTGAAAGTTGCAGTGTTTACAGTTACAGGAGGTGGGAGATATCGGGACCACCCCCATACCGCTGTGCAATGAAGCCTTATTTCAGTGGGGAAAGAACAAATTTTCCCAACCAGAGGCATCAGCTGGCTTTTCCAGTTTCCCCATCCTGCCCCCCCAGCCCCCCTCAGCGGGTGCTGCCATGCAATGGAGATTGCTTGGTGGAAGTCTTGGGATGCCGATGTTTTCATCGTCCCCTAAATCTTCCAAAGTTGGCTACAGATCAGCTCAGTTTGCACGATTAAAAACAAAAGAAAACAAAATAACCCCAAACTAATTCAAACAAAACAGAACAAAACAAACAATCCAAGGATGGGGAGAACATCCAACTCTCTCTTTTCTTTTTTTCAAACGTAACAACCAAAGCTCCACACTGTACAAGACCACTCACTGGGGGTTTCCAAACAACTCATCGAGTTCTTGTATCCACTCATCCCCTGGTCCGCTCTTAATGATGGAGTCCACAAGGTCTGCGCCCTCTGCTAAACTGGAGAATGACCCCCCTGCTCCTTCACTGCTGTAGTTGTAAGATATGTCCTGAGTGGGATTCCTCTCGTAGGCCTGGCCTTGGCTGCTCTGAGCAAAGTTACTGCCTGGCATTTGCTGCGTGGGAGGCTGACTAAAGCCGGACATGGGGGGGACCCCTTGGCTTATTGCAGGCATTACCATCGGCCTGGCCTGGCTAGCTCCTTGTTGCCCAGGTAGTGGTTGCAGCAACTGTCTTCCCATTGCTGGGTTCAGGGCTCTTACTGTTCCACTCGTGTCCACAACTGTCTGATTAAGCCCCTGTGGGAAATGTTGCTTGGACAGCCGTGGCTGCCCAGACGGCATCGGGTACGTTGTGCCGTTATTGAAGGGCCCCATTTCACTGCTAGTCCTCCCGGGTATGCCTTGCAAGCCTCGCTGCGGCCAGCTTGGTGTGCCTTGAGGGACAGTCCCCATCAAGTTTTGGAGTCGTGGTGCTTGGGGCCTGGGTAAGACCTGGCCCACAGGTCCTTTCATCTGCTGCTGATGCTGGGGAAGAGCAGAGTTTACCAGCATGCTCTGACCAAAATTGCCAACCATTCCCACTGCTTGTCCCGAGGCAGGCTGCCTCGTTCCCTGGCCCGCGTTATGTGCCATGCTCATGCCGCTTTGGTTTGGGTGCTGCAACATTTGGCTCATCCCTGTGCTCATACTGTACATTCCCGGCTGGCTGGAAGAGGCGTTGCTGTAAGGAGCCATTCCCATGTCCGACTGGCCCGCGGTCGTGGGCAGCGTGCTTGGGTTCTGGGAGGGAGCCATTGCCATCATGCTCGCGTTCTGGGCCATCATTCGGGATGTCCTCATGCTCTGGAGTGCTGCTTGGTTTCTCACAGCCGCCATATCCTGGGGAGAACCTACACCAAAAAGGGAGGAAGGTAAGAATAAACCACAACCCTGTAAATCGTAATTAACACGTCTTTGCATGAGAGAGAATCTGTAGGAGCCTTCTGCGTCACAGGAGGATTTCAGATTGCTCTGCTTTCTGAGTGAATAAATTATCATTTCAAGTGAAGGTTAGCGGAGAGCTAGAAGGTTATCCATCCTTGGGAATGTGCTTGCTGCCTAGCGTTTGTTGCATTTCAGAGATTATGTGTTCCCCACCTCACTCGGGCTGCAGCCACTGTCCTGGCCTGCTGAGTCCCCCCTCCTTGAAGGGGTGAGTCAGCACAGCTCCAGTGCTGCCCCAAACAGGAATCGCCGGCCGTGTTATGCAGCCTACATATGAAGCGGGATGCTGTTCAGCAGAGAATACCATCAATGCAGATGAGCAGACTAAATTCCCTTAAACCCTAAAATGAGGCTGGCAAGGTTAAAAGGCCAGTGATCTACTCACTAAGTAATTCTCAATTATGACAATTTTGGGATGTGTACCCAAAGGGATTCATGGCTTCGGGTTCTTGAAGAATCGAGGCAACACAATTGCATGCGTGACGCATGATTACAGCCATGGTTGCCTCCCTGATCATAACCCGCTTGGGTACCTAAGACAGACAGCCACAGGAGCTGCAGGGCTAAGCCAAGCCTGCCTTCCTCCTACTCCACGAGGACCAGAGGTCAAAATTTTAAGAAGTGACCTGGGAGTCAAAGTTCCCTTTCAAAAGTAAATGTGAGCCTTTCTTTTTGTGTGCATTTTTTCCCCCAGGACCCGTGACAATGTGCACCCTCCTCCATGAAAGAAATCAGTCCCTAAGACTTCAAAGTTGCATACACACTGCGATCCAGTAGCACTTTTCTTCTTCAGATAAGCCTTATTCAGCTTCTAGCAAGCAAATGAGAAAGCTTCCACTGGTTGTCTTCAATGGCAGCAAAGCAGCTGAACTGCAGTTCGCCATTTGAAGCTCTCTTTTAAATATCTCCATTGTCTTTCAAAAGTAAGCCTTGAAAATGGAAATGTCAGGCTCAGAAGGCCAATCAATTTTTTAATAGCTCAGGAGGCATAAATGAATGGATTTTCTATATCATTGTTACTGATTAAGTCTATGGAAAGAAGAAAAATTGTTTTTTGTGGACATTTAAAGCAGGGAGAGTGTATTAGTGAATCAATATTATAAGCACATTTTACTCCACCTTAGGCCAGTGATGAGAAACCAGAAAATCCTAACCTTGTTAAATTCCACACCGTGGCAGATAACTGAACCATGCTTGTGTCTTCCTTTCAGGGCTGGGGGGCAGCTATCGATTTCTGGGAAGCCAATATGTTTCTGTATTTACTATCTTTATTTAAAAACAATTACCGGAACTCTGATTATGCCATGGGTTCATTGTGGTTTTGAGTCACTACCATACCAAATTAAATACAATACTCTGCAGGTGAAGCTCTGAGGGTACGAGGCACACGATTACTCCCAGCTCAGACATTATTAAATGCAAGACAGAAATATAAAATGGTTGCTTTAAGAGTCATGAACTGCACAACAAAACCTGAATGTTCTTGAATCAGCCCCTATCTGTCATGCCTCAGTGGCAGACAACATACCTGAATGTCTGTGGAGAATAGAGAATGCTGAGCCCTGTTACTGACTCTGGCCTGGTTTCCAGGAGAAATGGGTATGAACAAAGGAAGCGCCATTTCTATAGTTTTGCACATAATGCAGAGGACGGCTACACCTCCCTTTTCCCTGCAGCAGGATAAGCTACTGGAGGATGCTTTTAGCTCCAACATATAGATAAATGAAATGTTTTGTAGCATGAAGAGCGACCATCTGGATCTCCCTTGAACAGGGCAAATGTAGTGGCAGCTTTTACTTTATCCATGCTATCAAACCATTTTCTTCATGACTGGCACTGGGGTCCCCTGGATTTTTCTTAATTTAGATCACCTCCTCCTTCCGTGATTAGAAACAGTCTCTTTTTACAACGTTTCTGGCATTGTAGTGCTTAAGATACAGATAATGTTAAAAACTTACTTAATGCATCTTTAGCTATTTTTTAATTAATAGTGGCAGTTGAAAACCTCCAAAGGAGTCGCTACCAGCAAGTGGTTGACATACTACTTTTGTTAACTACCGTGCTTGGCCTAAGAGACAGGAGATCAGACAAAGAGTAGTTCAAAGAGAGATGCAACAGATTTCAAGATTTTGGGCCACCTTCTGGTGTCATTAACACAACCTACTGCACTGGATTACAACCTTGTGACTAAATAGGAAAAACGGTGAAATATTTATATTTAAATTAGCTCATTTATGAAAATTAATTCCTCGCTCTGTCAGATTAGCCTAAACTCTCTTCTCCATTTCTTTTAAATAATAAATAGGAAGGCAAGGTTTCAAAAGAAGCATTAATGCAGAAAGATTTTACATCTGCATCTCACTACGTGGCGGTGCACACACATACATTTTGATTTTGCAAATGAATTGTTGGGGGAAAAAATTATTTCATACAGAATTCATGCTGCCAAAGATAAAAATGAGAGGGCGATCAGAAGGAGCCACCCTGATAGATACCAGCAGAAGATCTGGCTGCCTCTTCACTTCCTGGGTCCAAGAACTGCAGTATGCCTGCCTGCCTTGTTTTCTGTTGCCGTTACATGACACTATCATGAATATACAGCGCAAGTGCGTGTTCCTTTCATGTCTATTTAGAATCCATGGTTGGTGAAGACATTCATCTGATGCTCTGCACCTAAAAAGCTCAGAATTAACTTCTTTTCCTAAACCAAAATGATCGTACTTATGTTCTTCAGCTATCTGTGAGCACACCGAAATACTACTTGCTTTTTTTGAGACCATTAAAAAAATCTCCATTTACATCCCAGATATTTCAGTGTGCTTCCCACACCTGACATTTATCAGTCACTTCTCCACATAAGGATGACCTCTCTGAAATTCTCTGCTCATGAAATTAAATAAAGTGGAGAATGAAGAGGGGCAAAACCAAGATACAGTGAGAGACACTAGCTGAAAAAAAAAAAGCATAATGAGAGTGGAGGCAAACAAGATAAATCCATAAAATCCAGATGTCAAAGAGGCAAAACAAATGTCAAATAAAAAAAATGCAGCTTTAGCTGAGCGGAGCAGGAAGGAAATTAGAAACTTCACTAAATACACAAACCTGAGCATTTCCCTTTGGTAAAATATGCAGTATGTGCAAGTGTGTAACAGCCCGTCTTTCTCTTCTGGCACACTGCTTAAACCCTGGTCTTCACAGAAGTCATGAACTTCCACATGCCCACTACGGGGGCATACACTGACTCCAATATAGGAAAAAGAATTTGGCTTTTACCTTGGAACTGATTGACCTGTTGCACTGGATACGGGCTCCGTTGTTGCTGCAGATGCTGCCGAGGCAAATGTGACTGCTGCTGCAACTGCTGAAAATGAATGAGGGCAAGAAAACAGAAGAGAAAAAGATGATTAATTAATTAGTGAGCTGAGAAAGGGGCTGGTGGCAAAAGTACTGCAGCAGAACTGCAGCGTTTCTTATCTAGCAAGCTGTTCTGGAGAGACAAGCAGAGTCATTTGAAGAGTCCTCCTGAGAGCACTTGGGCTACTCAGCACACGGACTCCTTTTGGTTCAAAACGGAATAAGCACTGAGGCTAACATCATCTCTTCTGACTTACAACCACTTCATCTCAACCTCTACAGTGTGAACTTAACTGTCTTCAGGCTGAAAGGAGAAGGAGAGATATGAAATAACTTTGCCCACCTAGGTCTAAGGGCAACTGTAGCCACACCGCCTTTCCTCACCCCAGCCCTGACAAGGTCTAAAGGTTTGTGTTCCTGATACAAGATTTTCTTCCACTTCTGAACTCAAAACACTCAGTTGCAAGGAGTACTGCTCCTTGCCCTGAGCACTGTGGCCTAGGACCGTTGCCGAGCCAAACCAGGGGCAGGCTACTAAGGCACGTTTCCTCTTGTGCTTCAGTGAACAATATTTGGGGAACAGCTGATTGCAAAATGCCTCCTTCCCTTGATCCGGCCCACACTGCTCCTCTGTGGTTATTTTCTATGAATACTCATGCATCTAAAACAGAATCAAGGGCTCATTGTAAAAACAGAGAGTGTGTTTACCAGAGCTTTCAAAGCCCAGGGTATACTCGACTAAGCACTTACTAAAAGGACGTCTGGGTGCTTCATCTGCAGCTGTACAAATACTGTGTCCAAAACCAAGGATGTGTGATGAAGGTAAGAGAACAGCAAAGATGGGAAAGAAGCAAGTACTAATCCCTGTGTTCATATGTATGTGATACAAACCATCAAAAAGATAAAGGGAACCTTGTTAGGCACAAAATACCCAAAATCTAGGAGCCTGAGGACCTTGACTTCATCACTTTTCATCTATGCCAGCGCACTTGACAGCCTCAGCCTTGTGGTTTTTCAACACTTTCAGGCTTTGCCTTCAGCAGCCAAGTCAGTGACTGGCTCTTATGCTTATGCACTTGAATTGGCCTAATCCATGATGGGGGGACGTTACAGCATCCTCACGCTTCTGCACTTGTTCACCCCTGAACCAATTCATGCATCTTTATCCTGAATATTTCTCGGAGCATCCTTTCTGTTCATTAGGAGTGATTTTTTCTATTTCTCAGGAGGACCATGAGAAGAGGGAAAGAAGAGCAGTATTTCTGTGGTTATACAACATGCACAAGTTCTAACACAAATTAAAGCAGACCCCAGGTCTTAAACTGTATTTCCCCCACAAGAGAGGTGAAGCCAAGCTCAAAGCAAGGACTGACCTATCAGCTCATCAGCTAGGTGACGTTAGGGGACTGCAAGTTTAAACTTGGGTATGAACTTACAAGAACTGAACAGTGTGACTTTCCACTGACTTTCTCCTGGGTTGATTTTAAACTATGGCCGCGTTAAACGTGCATAAGACATCACCACTCAGACAGGGTAATTTAACAACTGTATTGCAAAGCCTGAGAGCTCTAGAAGCCAGGTGTCAGGCTCCAAGGCAGCAGCTCCTCACTGCCACTGTGAGAAGTGGCTTTACTGTTCTCCCACTTCAGCCTCTGGTTCCCCTCCTTGATGCTGCATTTCCCTCGTGCTAACAGAATTGCTCATACCACTATGGGATAAACCAGATTAAGGAATGGATCTGAGTAGATACCGAATTTTTTTCTTTGCTAGGTTACTTTTAACCGACATCAATTCTGTGTCCCAGATCACTGCACATAGCTTTTGCCAGTACAAGACAACGGTCAGAGGTATGAGAGAGGACCAGCAACTGTAACGGTAGCAGAGTCTGCCTCTGCCAGAGCCAAGGCACCAGGAGACACCGGGTTGAGAGCTAACTTTTCCCGTACCTAAATTCCCATGCAACTGTCAAGCCCACTGCTAGGAACATGGGTAACATTTGCCAAGCTAATGGTAAAGACTGAGGCAGATGCCTCTTTGATAACCATTGCTGAAATACAATGACAGGAGCCACAGAGAGAGATTTACCAAATGCAGAAGGGAGGGAGGGCCAGCGCTGCGCTGTCCCTCATGCCGGCGAGCGCGGTGGTGCCCAAGACAAGCAGATACGGTACCTGCTCTGCCAGGATCTGTTGCTGCTGCTGCCTTTGCTCTCTTAGAAACTGTTGTTTCTGCTGCTCTATCACGTGGAGCTGGGCTCTCTGCTCGATCAGCATCTGCTTCATGATGGCCGCTTGAGGTTGGTTTCCCAGGAAGGCCCCGCCAGAGCTCGTGCCCGTGCCCACGCTGCTGGAGCCCGGTGGGACCGAAGGCTGCATAGGCCCCGTGGTCCGAGACAGTCCCACCTGATGCTGCTCCTGTGCAAAGAGAGAGAGGCGGCCTTGTTACTCGGGGCGCTCCCTGGGCAAGGGAAATTACAGCTCCTTAGCAAGAAGCATTGAGCCTGTGGGTGAAGACTGGAGCTTGAAGAAAGTAAAAGTCCTCAGAAAGGTGCTCGTGGCCTGTGACCAAGTCCCGGGCTGTTCCCTACGGGGACCAGGTTCCTCTTCTCTCCCCGAGTTCAAAGACCCCACAGATAAAGTAAAAGCACTTTACAATTCATTAATAATAAAATAATAAAGTTGCATACTAGGTTTATTTTCATTCAGGATACATAACTTCAGAGTAATGTTTTCCTAAACTTTTCCTCCCTCATCATGGAGACAAGAAATGTATTTTCTTCCCAATTCCCTTTCTCCATAATGGCAGTTTCACACAGTCCTCAAGGAGCTGAGGTTTTAGGCACACAGAACCAATAGCAGGAGCTGGCAGCATTAATGCCCCATTATATTCCACCGGAATCTCAGGATTTAACCACAAGATGTGTTTATTTAAGACTTCCATCCCGCAGCAGCAGACCAAAAGCACGTATCTGAAAGGATGCGGGGCACGGGATGCCCCGGCCACCTTCTCCTAAACCCACCCTGCTTTCTCTTCACGTTTCTAATCCAATTTGCTGCCTTTCAGCGCTGGGGAAAAACAAAAACAAAAAACAAACAAACAAACAAAAAAACCCAAACAAACAAACACCAAAAAAAACTAAGAAGAAGCATAGAAGAAGAGATTTACCGGGGGGTAAATCTCAAAACCCCCTCCCTCCGCCGGCTCGCCCTCCCACCGGGCGCCAGCCGGGGGGGCTGCAAGGGGCCGGGGGGCTGCAAGGGGCCGGGGGGGCTGCAAGGGGCCGGGGGGGTCCCCCCCTTCCCCCTCCCCCAGCACCCCGCGGTCCCGGGGGGGTCCCGGTTCCCCGGCGCTGCCGCCGGCAGGTGTCACTGCCCGCCCGCCGCCCGGCCTCTCCCCGGGGCGTCTTAAAATCATCTGTGTCCCCCCCTCCTGCCCAGGCTGCGGCGGGGCGGTGGGTCCCTCCGACACCCCCCCAGGTACTCCTCGGTGTAGAAGAGCTGAAGGATTTTCCCTCCCGCCTGCCTCCCCCGGGCCAGTACCCGAGCGCCTCGCAGCCACAGCATCGCTGCTCGGCGTCCCGGAGGAGCAGCCGCAGCGGGGACTGGCCCTGGGTCACGGCTCGCAGCCCGTGCTCGGCCCGCGTGGGAGCCCCACGGCTGGCACCCCTCGCCGTGGGGCCGGCTTGGGCACCGCCCCCCCCCCCCCCCCCAGCGCTTCATCAGCGCCCGGCGCTCAGCACCCCGGCCTGGTGAGGGAGAGATGAGTGATGCTGCTGTTACCTCAGGCTGGCTTCCCGTCAGACTTAAAAATGGTCAAGAATTGCTCCGTGGGGCAGGACCACCTTTTATCAGGCCTTGGCAAAGCCACCAGCACGTCCCGGCTTGGGGCGATACCAGTGCTCTGCACCTCTGCCAGCCTAAGCGAGCCAGAGCAAGCTCCGCAGAGAGCTGCTTTATTGGCAGGATCAGCCTTAACATTTGCTGGTTAGAATCTCCTGAGCTGTTTTACAGAGATGGGTACTCATTCAAAAACACTGGCTTGATGGAAAGGACCTATATATCACTTTAGGATCCTTTGTGCAAAGCATGCCAGGGTGAGGTTTAGATTAATCTGCTTCACTGATGGTTTGAGTTATGTCAATCACTGTGTGATTGAGAATAGACAGAAAAGTAATCTTGTGACACCCACCCCAACCCAGTCAATGAATGGGTTAAAATCAATCCTTGAGTGTAGCTTGGGAAATTTGGACCAGCCTTTCTGCACGAAGGTCAGGTTTTCAAGGACCCTTCTGAGGAAATAACAAGAAAATACAATTTGTCCACATCTCTGCTTTGCACAGATATTCCCTGAAGGGCTCTCTGCCGAAAGGCAGCTCTCCAATATTTAGGCTTTTTCTCTTTTTTAACATCTGCCCTGGTTCGAAAGTTCCCTCCCCACTCCTCTTCCCACTTCTCCCCTGGTCCCGTCTCCCACTGCATTTTACAACCTGAGGGCTGCGGGGGCTGCCCCCGGCCGGGGTCAGGGCAGTGTACCCACGAGCTGTCCCTCAGCCGAATTCACCCCAGCCACGGAGCTCCCGCTTTCTTTGCTTTGGGGGACACACAGATATCGGCAGAGCTGACGGTAAAGGCTTTTTCCTACCACCCCCTTGGCCCTCCCCCGACTTCTGATGAAGTCATCAAGCCACAGATTGCATAACTGATGCACAGGACTATCTTGTGTTATACTGGGAGATGGGCCAACTGCTTCCATTTATAGACAAAAGCAATGCCACGCTGCCAAATAATGGAGCCTTTGCTGCAGCCGCTACAAGGAAAAAGAAAAGTGGGGGGGGGGGGGGGAGGAAAAACCCGGGAACCAAAGGGCATGCTGTGAAGTGACATCACTTGGAGCTTCCTCCGGCGAGCCGCAGCGCACAGCTGCCTCTGGGGCTCCAGCCCAAGTCCTTGCTGAATCGCCTTCAAAACAGTCTTACTACAGAACTACTGTCCTGGCTCTTACGCACGCACGGCTACAGTCGAGGGACACACTCGCCCCATGGAGTGTCGCAGAAGGCACTCTGCTCCGTATCGTATTACGTTATAAGTTAATTCCAGAGTTTAAAAGGAAGAAAGCTTTGAAAGGAGCCCCGCCAGCTGACATGAGCCCTGTGCACTGTGCAGCAGCTGGAGGAAACATGAAGATTAGCACAAAGGTGTTATTTCCACCGTTGTGTGTTTAGCCATTTCGAGCTACAAGAGTTTACCTACTCATCGTGAAAACTTCCTCTTTCCAGTTCTAATAACAGGTTTAAGGCCAGGCCTTCTTCATCAAGGCAGAACACCACTCTCCTGCCTGGAATATTTCTTCTCCTTTCCATTTTTTTTGGCGAAAGCTCTTCCCAACCAATGATGAAAGGCCCCGCTGGCATCACCGGGTGCAGCCCTGGGTTGCGTGTCCTGAAAACAGGAGCACAGCCCGGGCAAAAGGTCTCCGCAGGCAGGAAAATGCTCCCCAGCACCTGGGAGCAGAGCTCTTTACCGAGAGCACCCCTGCAGCCCGGCGCTGCTGCTGTTAACCCCCGAGGCGGGGGTTGTACGCCCCTGCCCAGCCCTGGCAGCGGCGTGGGGCCGCGTGGGCTCCTGGTCATGGGTGTGCACCCCCAGCCTCCTTCCACGGTTCCCTCCGGAGGTCCTGCACGGAGATGAAACCTGAAAGTGGGCTGGGGGGCACACACGTGTGGCTGGGCACTGGTGATGAGCGAAGTGGCGCTGGGCTCCCCACGGCTGCCTCTTACAAGCCATGCCTGCTCCAGGCCCACCGCAGGAGCCAAGCAACGAGTCAAGCAACTCGGGCTAAGTGCAGCACTTACACAGCTACCGAGCTTCAAAACCAAACGAATCCGAGCTTCACCGACAATGCTCTCTGCTCCTGCGCTGCCTGCCAGCTCCCTCACCCTCCTACTGCACCCTAAGCCTTCCTGCCCTTAGACCTCCTGCTCCTCCTCCTCCTTTCTTGCTGTCCCTTTCTCCTTCCTACACCCTCTGCCCTGCCTCTGCGTTTTCTTTTCTCCACCAACCGGCACTGCTGCCTCCTCACTCCCCAGACATCGGCGCCCTGGCTAAGCAGCTCTAGCTGCACATCGCCTCCGCAGCTGACAGGGCTGGTACCCGGCGGCCGGTGCCCACAGCCTGACTCACCCCGTGACTCAGGCTGCCACCGCTCCGGGGGGGGCCCCCGCAGCAAGGGGACAACCCAACCCCTTCCCCCGGGCCCTGGGCACGTGCATGCAGGGGTGCCCTGTGCAGGTGTAGGCAGGTAGCCCCTGAGAGGAGTGACAAGATACCCTGGGATGGGAAACACATGGTGTATTCTCAGCCCATTACACCTGGGGAGACGGTACAGCGTCACTTCTGATTTTTCACCCTGGCTCCTTTCAATGACACCCAAAGCCACTGTGTGCTACTCACAGGCTGCAAACAGCTTTCTCGTGGTAACGGTGGCTGGTGCAGAGTTACACACGCTCCATCTGCTCGCCGAGGGGCAGGCAAAGCCAAGAGGCCAGTTACGTGAGGGGGGATGATGCCAAGGGCCCTTCCCCTGACTGGACTGTGCCTCAGAGCGAGTTCCAACGCAAGCACTGGCCCTGGCTAAGCCTCCTGGGGACCCTGCCGGGACCCCTCCTGCCTTCGCATCCTCAGCAACCTGCTTTTAAAACAGCCCAGGGACAGAATTGAGCACTCGGCCCCTGGGAGCAAACCTGGGTATTGAAAAAGCCAAGCTGCTGGTCACAGAGCTAAAAAAGAGCCGAAATTTCCAAATGGTCTGCATAACATGTCTGCACAGGTTTGTATAGCTGCAGAGCACCCAGCAAGGTGAACTTTTGTAGGGATCTGGCTGCTTAGTTAAAGCCAGCGTGGGAGTTGCTGTCTGTTGATGACTGGATCCTTAGTTAAGCAATAAAAGCATGAATCCTGTGTCCTCCCGGTGTATCTCCAGGGATCTCCTGGAGCGAGCAGATCATCCACGGGAGTTCAGGGGTGATGTGTATGCCTGTATGTACAGTTACGCACATTAAACAAAAGTGACTTTCAAGAACAGAACAAAGGGGAGTGGAAAAGGTATCTTCCTCTTTGTCTCAAATCTTATATGCCTCATCCTTATCACGCAGCGGTTCATTCCTGCCATATATCATTCTGTCTCCCAACTACAGCTAAAAGCAATCAAGGAATTTTCTTTCAGAAGAAGCAGAACGACCACCAGCGGGTGCCCCGAGAGCTGGGCAGCTGGGTGCAGGTAAGAGCAGGGAGGGACTGGCCAAACCATGGGCCCTCCATGCACTGCCTCATGCTCAGAGCCTTTGGACATGGCGAGCTGGCTCGGCTCCGGCAGAAGGCTGGGGGGGCAGAGCAGGACCCCAGGGAGAAGGGGGCTG